CTACAAACGGTTGGGGGAAGTGGACCCCCGAGAGAGACCCTCGTTAGGCAGCAAGGACTTGAGGTGGGACTAGGGCTGGTGGGTGGCACCCGGGTGGGTGGTGCGGCTCCCACTGCTGGGACCACAGCTGTTCCCAGGCTTTTGTACGTGGCATCAGATGCCCAGGGAGCATCTAACCAGACACCTACTGACATTCTGGCACTTTCCAGTGCCACCCCAGTTTTCTTCTGCTGCTTGATCCTCACAACCTTTCGAGGCCGGATTTTCTCATTTTTGAGGCGAGGAAGGGCAAGGCCCAGATCACATTCTAAGTAGAATTGCTGGGACTCAAAGCCATGGATTGTTTCAAGCTCTTGTAACCAAAACACCTGACCAGCTGGGTCCAGGGGCTCACACAGCATCAGAGCCCCTCAGCCCGCTGTCCTGTCCTCCTCAGGGCAGGCTCTCCGCAAGTCAAGGCCACATGGCCCCCTGCAGCTCCAGGCTCAGAGCCAATCCAGTCAGCGGCCCCAGGGGGAAGACGTTGAGTCTTTTAAATTCTTTACGAGAAATTATTGAGAATACTCTTTTACCTACCACCCAGGTTTGTCAGACCTTTACATCCTGTCCTGAGTCAGTGTTAAAAAAAAAAAAAGTGGGTTTTTTTTTAAAGAAAAAAATATAGAAATGGATAAACTGCGGTACATCTGGACGGTGGAATGTTATATGACGCTAAAAAGAAATGAGCTATGAAGCCGTGAAAAGACACGGAGGACATTTAAATGCATATTATTATTAAGTGAAAGAAGCCAACCTAAAAAGGCCACATATTATATGATCCCAACTGTATGACATTCTGGAAAAGGCCACAAACTATGGAGACAATAGAACGATTAGTGGTTACCAGGGTTAGAGGGAAGGGAGAGGAATAGGGGGAGCACAGAGGATTTTTCAGGGCAGTGAAAATACTCTGTATAATGGTGGCTACATGTCCTTATATATTTTCCCAGACCCACACAATGTGCACCACCGAGAGTGAACCCTAGTGGACACTGCGGACTCTGGGTGATAATGATGTGTCAGTGTTCATCAATTGTAACAAATGGACCCCTCAGGTGCCGAACGTTGATAGTGGGGGAGGCTGTGTCTGTGTTGGGGGGGCATATGGGAAATCTCTTTAGCTACCTCTCCATTTTGCTGTGAACCTAAAGCTGATCTAAAAAACGATGAAGTCCTTAAAAAAAAACAACAGAGGAACATTAAAAACAATGACACCCAAGTCTCCACAATGCCCCCACTGAATTAGTTTCCTATGTCAGCCATAACAAAGCACCACAAAGTAGGTGGCTTAAACAACAGAAATTTATTGTCACACAGTTCTGGAGGCTAGAAGTCCAAGCTCATTTGGAGGGCTCCGAGGAAGCATCTGCCCAAGGACTCTCTCCTCGCTCAGGTGGTATGCTAGCAAGCTTTGGTTGTCCCTTGGCTTGGAGAAGCATCGCCCCGATCTGTCTTCATGTTCACGTGCTAGTTTCCCTGTATGTGTGTTGGGGGGTGGGGTACTCAAATCTCCCCCATTTTATATGGACATCAGCCATCCTGATGACCTCATTTTAATTTAAGTACCTCTGTACAGACCCTATCTCCAAATAAGGTCACATTCTGAGGTGCTGGGGGTTAAAACTACAACATATCTCTTTTGGGGTGACAAAATGCAACCCATAACACCCACCATGTGGCGGCTGATTGAGTGCTCTGTTGCTATGGAACTCTTCAAGCTGTTTTATAAGTAGCCCCGGCTGAGCTGATTTTATTCCATCTTGGAGTTCTCACAGGTAATTTCACAGGCGGGCTGCAACTCACACCTGGCTCTTCCATCAGAGCAGCCTGTCAACACTCAGTGTGGTTAGACACATTTTCCAGGTGTTGAAGGACAATTCAACTCATGGCAGGTCAGCCTTCGCTCAGCGGGTGCAGACAAGCCTCCACCAGTCACATCCACAGGGTCTCTGAGAGACGTGGGAGCTCCCAGGGCTTTCACTTTCTTATTATCGTGTCCGTGCCATGGCTCCCACGCCAGACGTTCCAGCAGGCTAATTCCAAGGAGAATTTTCTCAAGATCTATTGCCCCAAACAGGCTTACTGTCCGACACAGCCAATTTTATACCTTTTAGAGGGAGTCCCTTTTTGCATTGCTGACTCCAAGAAAGCTAATTAATTATTTCAGACACGGCTATTAAATTGACACAGTGATTAATCTGATAATCCTTTTTCTGAAATTACCTCTGAAATGCTAACTTTTCATCTTTTGAAACTCACAGTGTGTAAATTACTCTGAAGATTACATTGTCCCGGCTTTTGGCTCTGTAAATCTTGACGGCAGTTTTTTGCCAAAAGCAATAAAAGCTGTCCTGAATTTATCAGGTCCATCAGGAAAGAGGCAGGCAGGCAGGAAATTGAAGGTGACTCAAGCTGCAAGTGGGGGTTTTGACTGACTGACAGATTGTTAGAACCTGCTGTTGCCAGTTAGCTACAGGGGACTTGAAACCAATGAGAGGAACAGTGGTGGCCTCATGAAGCACAGGGACACGTGGGACCCCTGGTTGGACGTGTCAAGGCTCCCTATCTGAGAGAAGAGCTAGTGTGGTTTAAGAGGTCCTCCCTTCCCCACCCCCTCTTCCCCTCCCCACCACCATCCCCACATGTCCTCCCAAAGAAACTGGCTGAGTGGCTCTGGCAGAGACCGCCCAGTGAGTCCCATTTGGGTTCAAAGCCCGCCGAGTGCTGCCTCGGTCCCCTACCCCGAGCACTCCCCAAAGTCCTTGTCATGGAGTAAGGGCAGGAACACACGTTGGCTATTGCCCTCTACCCTGCTTTACCCAGTGGGCAGGCCCCTGGACCTCAGGGTGACTTTAGTCACTCCAATCATGCTATCAGTGCTGTTGCATAGAACGAACCTTAAAGCCTCATGGGGCTACCAGGCCTGGTAGAAATAGCAGCATTCACCTTCAAAAAACTCTTCAAAAAGTTGTTTTTAAGATAGTTTTTTTTCTTCTTTTTAATAGTAAGTCCTGTGCATCCCATGTGTGCCTTATCAGGATAGTGTTGGATTGCTCTGATAGCCTCTGCTAGGGCTGCCGCACACTTCTTACTTGTTTTGAGACCAGTGAAGGACAAAACCTATTGTACCTGTGGCCTCATTTATCCATCCATCTCTCCATCCATTCATCCCTCCACACCTCTACCCTCTGCCCATCTATCCATCCACCAATCCACCCATCCATCCATCTGCTCATCCAACCATCCACCTATCCTTGCATCCATCCATCCATTCAACAGTGTCTATTGAACACGTACTATATGCCATGCTCTGTTTCAGGCTCCGGGGACAACGGGCAAAATAAGAACATGATAGAGATGATTCCCGCCCCCATGGCACTTCCGTTCTAATATAGGAAGTAGGACAATAAACAAGATAAATACTGAGATGGTGTTCCATTCTTTGGCGAGAGGAAGTACTGGGGGTGGGGGTGGAGCATCTAAGGGGTCCATGTTAAGAGAAAGGTGTGGGATGGGGAGCATGTGGGTGAACGTTTCCTGGGCCCTGAAGCACCCCCCCCCCTCCCGCGCCCAGGATTCTCTATCCAGCCTGGGGAAACTGAGGCTCAAGGGCATCTCCAGCCTGCTGTGTAGTGTCGCCGCTGCTGCTGTTGCTTCTTTGGGCTGAAGCTGGCCAGGTTCTTCCTGTTTTGCTGGGGGCAGGAATCTTACCATCTACCACCTTCCTCTATCCAGGGTTTTCTCCCATCCCTGTGTACACAGGTGAGAGGTAAACAGCAAGAGAAAGGTCTGTCCCAGGAGCTGCTGGGCTGATTCCTATGGTGGAATGAGTTTCTAATGAATTGAATATAAAGCCATGAAACCCGAAGAGGTTTCTGATGCCCTCGCATTGCTGGTGAGAGAAGACCCCAGTGTGTGGAGGGCTCTGGTCAGCAGCTGGAGAATGACAAGGTGAAAAATAGACCGTTCTTGTCCTCTGGAGGTGTGATGGGGGCACCCCTCTGCGACTGCACACCCATAATCCTGTGCACAAGTTATTCTGTCATTCCAGCACACTCACCCCTTAGCAAAAGGGTGACTTCCACCGTCATGACGCCACATTGAGTGTCAGCCTTCCAAGGGTCTAACAGAGACACAGGGAGAGCCCAGGAGGCCTCTGAGGGGAGCAGGGAAGAGGCAGCAGCGTTCCCCAGCTCACCCCACAACTGGAGACCAGTGGGCTTCTCTGTTTCAGACAAAGCCTGCCTTTGGCCCTGGGGCTCTGGACCCAACCTCTGTGGCTGCCCCTGGGCTGAGCTGTCCCATGGATGGATTTGCAGGAAAGGGACAACCAGGTGTGAGTTTGGGGAGCCAAACTGAGCTTTGGCAACTGTTTTACAAGTAGCCGTCATAGTAGCAGGGGTTGCTGCATGTTTGGTGTGTCCTCAGCCCTCCTGCTCATCTGCCATTCCTCTGAGGGTGCCTGCCTCCTCTCCTCCCGTCCCGCTCCCCCATCCAGGCCCACAACCGAGTTCCAGAGCAACCCCCCACCATGTGCATGGTGAAGTGGCCTTCCTGCCTGTTGTTTTTCTAGGGAGCCTTTTCTTCCCTGCTGAAGTCACACTGACATCCGAGAGCACATCGGCTGCCCTCAGGTTGCCATGGAAACTGAGCATTCTTTCCCTTCTCCCTCCTCTGTTTACCTTGGTCAGGGACTGCGGCAAAAACCAGCCTGTCGCTGCGGCAGGGAGGACGGTGGGCGGGGGAAAGGGAGGAGGGAAAGCCGGCGCTCTAAACCAGATCATTCCGGTTCAGGGTGGCTCGCCCCCCTCCATCCTGAGAACCTCTGGAGCTAGGCGCGGTGGGGGCTGCAGAGGGGGGCTCTGGGCTCTAGGGCAGCGTTAGTCTGGAGGTGCCTCTGGCTAGCCCCCCCCCCACCTTCTCCCCACAAGTTCCGTATCAGCCTCCCCTTCCTCTCGTGCTGTCTCCCTCCCTGCCTGTGCTGGGTGTTAGCAAAGCTTTTGGGATGCGGCCCTAGGTTGCTGGGCCTCTGCTCAGAGTTGGGCAGTTGTTCACTACAGCAGGGCGCCCTGCTGGGGTCTGAAATCCAGCCCTGCTCTGCGCCCCGGCCTAAAGGGCCCTCCCCGTGCCTGGACCACCGCCCAGGCCTCCTAACAGAGGCCTACTTCTCTTGCGCCCTCCCTGCGGCAGCCAGAGGCATCGTTTTGTGTTCTCGGGCTTACAGTTTCCCGCCGCTCTTAGAATAAAAGCCACATCTGCTGCATCTTCTGACCCGGCCTGCCTCTCCGTCCTCGCCTCCCAGGCCTCTTCCCCTGGGCTCGCCCTGCTCCTGCCACACGGCTCCTCTCCCTTCCAGAAGATACCAGGACTTTCTGGAAGGCTCTGGGTCCCTGATGTAATAAAATATTCTTCACCGCGCGCTTTCTAGCCCCTCGTGCACGTTCACTGGATGCTCAGCAAGGCTTTCCCTAGCTTGTCTTTGTCAAGCAGCTCCCAGTTACTCCGGTTTCCTTCCCTGTGAGCTGGGTCCCTGAAGGCAGGGCCGTAACCGGGACGGCGCTGGCGCGTCCCAGATGCTGGTCCTCACTGGCGCAGAGGGGTGAGCGCCAGCCCCGGGCTTCCCAGCCGGTCCCCCCACTTTCCCCAGGACAGGCGCAGCCCCGCGGGCGGTCCAGGGCCCGGGAGCCGGGCGCGGTCGCCCCCTCCTGGCGGAGCTCCGCCGGCCCCCACTCCCCGCTAGGGGGAGGCAGAGAAGCCACCGGGCCGGCTCTTCCCGACGCTTGGATACCAGCACCAGGCCATCGTGCCGCTATCGTGCTGCTGTTGGACAAACTCGACTCTGACTGCCCAGCCATGTACGTGCAGCGGACGTCCGGCCCCGGCCCAACCGGGCCAAGGCCGGGGCGGAGGGCTGTGGGGATCTCACTCCGGGAGGGGAGGCGACGTTTCGGGGACCCCACTCGGCAACTGTAGCCCCAGTGCCCCCTCCCCGCCCCGATCTAAAGTTCCCAGCCTGGCCCTCCCGCCCCAGCCCGGAGCTGCCGGCGGAACCGCCCACTCCGGGCGGCCAGAGGGGATGCGGTTCTCCAGACGCCTGTCTCCATCTTCCATCTTCTCGTGGTTAACGACCCGTCGCCAGCAAATAGGCCCCGTCCATAGGGTGACATTTCTTACGAAGGAAACCTCTCAGAATTGCAGGCAGAGCCACCCTTTCCTGGGCTTTGGGGATCTGGGTAACCACCGTGGCAAGCCACTTAAGTTGGCTTGTCTTGGCCCAGCAATCTGTGAAATGGGGTAAGACCTCCAGGCTTCTATTCCACCACCAAGGTTTGCTGAGGAGAAAACGGACCATGAGAATGCTTGGCTGACATGCCGGGAGGTAGAGAGGCTTGGCCCTGCAGTTGTGAGGTCAGACGGGGCTGGGGTCCCAGTCCTAATTCTCTAACGCACCTCGGGGACATGCGCTCTGAGCAACCTTAAGGTTGGCATTCATATGGGTCACGCATGTCTCTGTGGGTGGCAAGTCTGGCCACCTACTCTCCAGGGAGTCTGGTGGGCAGTGCACGGGGAGCAAGGGGCAGATGCTGCCATCCTGAACAAAGATCTGACTTGGCGGTTTCAGTTCACCTCTATCTGTTCCTCCAGGATGAGCCTTAGGAAGTAAATAAGCCCCCACATGCCTGGATGTAGTCCTTTGCGGTTCTCAGGGCAAATAAGTTTGCTCCGTTGTAGTGGGACGGGGCAGATTTTGCAAACACCCTTGGGCAGTCACAGGGACTGCCACCTCAGCTCCAATAGCCAGACAGCTTTACGTAGAAAGTTCAAGAAAGATGACTTGATTAGTCTGTCCCCTCTATGGTGACACAGACAATGACAGTTGCTTCCTCTGCCTTTCACAGTTGCCATCTGCGATACCGCTCTGAAGCTCCTGGCTTGGTGTTGAGTTCCTGAAATAGTAAGTGGCCACAGCTCTCATCTGTCCCTGTCCTTCTTTCCTCCCTAGCCCCGGTGTGGGCTGGGCCGGTTACTGCCCTTGCTGACCGAGCAGGGCTTGGCACCTTCCTTCCAACGTGAGCTGCTGAGGCCTTCCTGTTGAGCTGACTGCGGGAGGGGAGCTTGGACACACTGTGTATTTGAGAATCTTAGAAAAATGTCTCCCTTCTGAATTGGCGACTTTGAGGCCAGACCCTAGGCCAGTATGGGATGGGTGGATTTGCCCATCTGCTTTGTCTATCACTAAACAACCCTCTGTCCTCTCACTTCGTGGAGTTTATGAAAGAAAATGCTTCTGCCCTGGAATACTGTTCTTGCTTGATTTTATGAATGGACAGGATAGTGAGGGATAGGCTCTACGTGACAGGATAAAATCACACTTCCATCTTGAGAGATTGTGTATTTTCAAACAATTTCCTCTCTCCTTCCCTGCACTCTTTCTTTCTACTAGCTTCCGAGATTGACTTCCAAATCAAAGATTCCCAAATACCAGTCAGGCTACATCTGATCAATGAAGAACTTAAACATACTAATACTCCAGCCCCACCTACCCTTTGAATCACCCAATCATTTATAATCTGACTTGTTCAGAAAGGACCCAGATTTACAGTATCCTGAAGAGGAGATAAAATTAAAAGAGCTGTGAAGAGTTCTGGTTTATAAAGGGGGAAAAAGGAAAACAAACAAAAAACAGCAGTCCCTACTGCAGTCCTTTCTCATCTCCCCACCTGTCATCTCACTACTGTTAGCAATTTGGGCTGTTTTTTTGGGGATACCTTCCTTTATATCTCTAATTAATATGCTTTCCTGATTATTGCTTGAACTTGAGACATTCAATATATATTACCTTCCTGCTGTGGAAGATGAGGATTTAGCTCACTTACATCACTCTGTCTCCCCTGCCTCATCCTCTTATGTTGTATTTAACTTCTTTATCGGTAACTTCTGTAATTTTAAGTAAATACTTCTTGTTCCATCAACTGGAGAGCAATAATAAGAAATACCTAATCATGCTTACTACATGCCGGGCATCGCTCTAGGCACTTTACACATATCTACTCATTTAAGCCACACAACAATGTCAAGGGACGGGTTACTATTATTAGCCTCATTTTAGGGGAAAGAAAATGGAGGCCCTGGTCTCCCAACTCTGTAAGTCAGCTCTTTCTAGAACTGCACTATCAAATAAGTAGCCACTAGCTACATGCGGCTATTTACATTTAAATAAATTAAGTCAAGTTTAAAATTGAGTTCCTCAGTCACACTAACCACATTTGAAGTGCTCAGTAGCCAGTGGCTAGTGGCTACTCCCTATTGGACGGTGAAATGATAGAACGTTTCAATCACTGCCGAAAACACCATAGTTTCGCGCTGGTCTGGAACCTGGGCCTTGCTTTTAAAGGTAGTGTGGCAACTGGATGGTTTTATCCATGTCCTCTCCTCTCAGACAATTACTGCAGAAGAATAATTGCGAGAGAACGTGGTTGTGCTGTTCAGTTATAATGGCTGAGTAACAGAATTTCAACAAACTAGAATTTTATACATGCAACTAGAAGAACAAAACCACCCAAATCTACTAAGCCACTAAAACCTCTTTCCCCAGCCGAGATGGGCCTTATTCAAAAGCCAAATCAGATACAAACAGGAATTCATTTCAAAGCTCTGGCTGGTCTAAAGTCTAAAAGGCAGAGGATCTATTTCCTTTTCCTGGTATGTCTGAGGGGTGTATACTTTAGAAGAGATAAGAGAAACAAACCAAAGGAAATAAAATTGCCCTGCATCATAAATGTAGGGAAGCCTCAGAAATTAATTATGAACTAGACATTGTACCTTTTCCTCCTCGTAGATTTATCTTGTAACATCTAAGATTATTTGTCCTGGAAGGTGTATCTGATCCAATAGCTTGTCAATGGAAACAATTAAAAATCAGAGGCACATGTACCTTTCTGGAAGGATCACTTAAAAGTGACCAGGCTTGGTGTTCACACCTACTACAGACTCAAGAGACCAGGGACAAGTACTGCTGGGGAAGGGGATCCTTTAGAGAGTGAAGTGACACAAAGTAGAGGTTTTGGGGAGGAAAGCTTCCGGAAGACCAAAGCCAGAACTAGGAACTGTGCTTTCATCCCCAAAGGACCCCTACGGAAGTCTCAGCTGCTTTGGGGCTTTTCTCTTGAATCACAAAGAGAATCATGACTCTGTATGTAAAGGTTCACATTTTTCCTTTCAATTCTCAGCAGCTCCTCTGACCTTCCGAAAAGGGTTGATACCTACATACAAACTTGCCTCGTGGTGGTTTGGGGACTATATAGGACGGGGCAGTAAAAGGGGGTGTGACCTACCCCACAGCCACATCCTTGCTGACGTCCTGAGGGAGCCGAGCTCTGCTGAGGGGACTATTGTGTGTCTAGGAGTTTCAGATGGTAAGCAGAGAGGAGCCCAGAGTGGGTGGAGGTGGAAGGTGGATGACCCACAGATATTATAGAGAAAAGTGGACCCTGGCGCGCTGGGGGAGGCGGGAGGTGGGGGGAGTGATAAAGGAGGTAGTGGAGGAGGGTAGGATTGATGCTTAGGTCACATAGGTGAGTTCACACACACAAATTACCATCAGACAATCAAGCTGGCCTTGAACCAGACAGACTCGGATAAGATTTATTGATCAGATTGTTTTAGAAAACCAACAGCAAAACACTGACAAGGTACATAAATACAGATTGGACATTTTAGGGTAAATTCACTATATTTCCGACCTGCTTGGAGGAAATCAGGGAAGGTGGAGAAGCTGTCCTGATCATACGGCATGCACACCAGACTGCAAAGGGACTTCCACTATTTAACAGGACTGTGGCAATAGCTTCATAGTAAGGCGAGCATCGTGTGTGGCCTAAACATACCCTGTACGAAGGGCCCAGCCCAGGATCACCCCTCACAGGCTGCCTGTGAGAGAGGGTTCCCTTTCTTGCCTGGGTTCTTCCAGTCAAGTCCTCATTGGCCGATGCCTTTACAGGGAGGTGCCTGGCACTGTCCCTGCTCAGACTCTGTACGAGGAAGTGGCTTTAGAGAAAGTCACTGTGTTTCTGATGCCTCCTTTGTATTCTAAATGTGCAACTAGTACAACAGCAATTACTAAGGTGGAACCGCCTCTGGCTCCTGTACACTGACTAGGCAGGGCCTTTAAAAAACTTCTAAAAAGTGAAAAAAATAAAAATAAAAAATAAAAAAAATGAAAATTATACTAAAAAGATGGCACCACTTTTGAAGCACAACTCAGAACTTCTTTTCATAACACCAGATGGGGGAAGAGGTCGCTTTCCACCGAATCTAAGGACCTTAGACGGGAGATGCCACCGCTGGGCGTGCTCTGTTGGGGACGCATGCGGAGAGTACGGAACTCTGCGGAGCCCACCTCAGGCCCTGCCAACACCCCTAGAGTTCCAAGGTATTTGGGGAAACAAAGCAGTTCAAGCGAAGGGTGACTAGTTTTGGGAGCTTATGGTCATGGGACCATAAGCCCTCCTCCATCCTGGAGCTCAATGCCAGAGCAATGAAGACTAAGGAAAATGGCTTTTTGTGCTACAGCAGAGTGCTGGCAGGCAGGCAGGCGGGCAATTCAGGGACCTGTGCTACTTTCTATGCATCTGCAAGACCACCTAAAAACAAAGTGGTTTTACAGAGTGAAGACCAACAGAGTCTTAGAGGATAATTCAACCTTTCCTGCATGCCAAGTTTTATGGCTGGAAAAGGTTACTTCAGGAAAAAAACGAGGCTCCTGCAAAAACAGCGGGAAAGCAGTATCTGTGAAGAGCCAAAGAAACGGGTTCAAGGGATGGGCGTCATCTGCATCGTGCTTCGCTTTGTCTTCCCACAGGTGCTAAGAGTTCTTTGGTGGTTAGAGGAGAGACAGACTAGAAATCAGGGCCGGAGACTATGCCAAAGCAGAGGAGTGAGGAGTAACATCTAAACTCAGGATCACCACCCCTGGGGCCTAATTCCAGCATTCCACAGCTGTCCACAGATTGACCAACCACAGCTAATCGGGCTGCTTACATGTCTGCTGGCGTCCAGCTCCTCCGTGAGTCTTCCCTTCCCACTTCTAACTACTCATTAGCCCCACTCCATTGGAGAGGAGGTGCCTGTGCGAGAGGAGCAGGGAGAAAGAACTACATATGAGTCAATGGTTTAATAGAAAAGTTGAAACACTGATTATCTGTGGATTCCAATGATCTGTGCTTTTCGTCTTGCTACTCTGGGTAACCAAAGGTCACTGTTACTATGCCTTTTGCTTAGTCATGTTAATGTTTATTATTGTATTTTAAAATCTGTCTATGTAATAGACATGAATAGTTTAGAGCAAATTTTTTACATCATGTCACTAAGGCCCTGAAAAAAGAAGATTTCTGCCAGTGGAAAGGGTTTCAGTTTGGCCCCTGAAAAACAGTTAAAAATCCCATCTATTCTATATTGGTTTATAGATTTTTTTCCAGAATGTGGAAAATACTTTATTCAATGAAGAAAGCATGATTTTCTTTATTTAATAAAGTATGACATTCACAGATAAATTAGTATATACAGGGGAGAATTGATACTATTAAATATTAGGTTTTAATTCTCTATTTAGAAAACTCACAGATAGACTTCCTTGCTGCTGGGCAAAGAAATGTAGGAAGCTATGCAAACATAAGATAGTACAAAGAAGACTGGGGAAAGTCTCAACTCTGAGAAGCTCAAGGAACCAGAAATGGAATAAGAAAACACGGACTTGAAAATCCAGCTTTACGAAGAGTTGGCTTAAGCCGGCCGATCACATCTCAATTCTTGGTATAGCTTGTCTCTAAAAGTAATGAGCTGGCCTCCCCAAGACAGACACAAAAAAGTAGTTTCACTGCTTTACAGTCACACCCTCCCTATATATAATCTGTATATACCCATATGTGTTTCTATATATTGCACTTAAGTTTATAGGACTGCAGTAAGATGCCTGGGGGTACCTCAAAGAGGCAGAGAAGCAGCAGGCATAAACGTCCCCAAATCAAGTAACAGTGTTGGGAATTAAGAGTTAAAAGTTCAAGAATAACTGTACAAGCTAGTTATACATGGACTAAAACGCCTGGTGACCCCTTATATGAAATCAGTCTTTGATCCCTACATAATAAATCTATGACAAAAATCCTTTCGCCACGCTAGACAGTGTGACTTGTTTAATTCTGGATATATTTCCACCAATAATCCAGAGGACAGGCTGGAGTTGGGCAGCAAAGCTTTGCTTTGAACTAGTGGGGCTGCTCAGACTGACTTGCTCTGGAGAGAACTCCTCATTGCAGCACGCCCAGCAGCGGGTGGTAAAAGGTTAAATGCCAAACAGACTGGTCATGGAAAGATGGGGGTGGGACATCTTAAGAAGGTGCTCCTTTTCCTGCCTCTCCCGCACCCCTCACTCTCCCCAAAAGGACCCAAACTCACAGATGAATGGTTGTTACAAGACCTTGTTGAACAGTCTCCATGAACTCAACCCAACATGGATGGGATGCTATAATAAGGCCTGGAAGTTAGGAGTCCAAGTCTAGAGGCCACAGTTTTATCTTCCCCAGAAGAACACGAGATAGTAATTTTCTGGCCATAACTCAAAGGTGACTTTAAATCCACACATGAGCTAAAGTGATCCCTTCTGGGATGAAGGAAAAAGAGTAACTTTAAAAGCTAAGTGAAAGGGCCAGTGACTCTGTGCCCGAGCTGAGCTGTCACTGAGCTACCAAAAGGTGGCAGGATGGCTCAGCTGGTATAACAACAAGATTGCCTGTTTGATGGGGGCTACACCCACCCGCAACTAAGATTGAACACCGCATCTTGAGCTTAGGAGGCCACGAGCTGCCGACGGGCAGCCAGATGGTGACTGGCGCCCTCCACTACGAAGATTGAAGGACAACAACTTGGCTGTTCCCCTTCCCCAATTCCCCAACACTGTTTCCCTCCCCCAAACCCCCAATAAAATCTTGGTGGGGGGGAAAAAAAAGCTAAGTGAAAAAGAGGCACTTAAAGGAAAAACGTGTCCTAAATCCCCATCTGAGCCTCCTGCTGCGAGGTGACCAAAGGGACAATCAGCACTGTGTCCTCCTGTGTGTGACAGCACCTTTGGTACACCTCAGGCCTTCCAAACGCACAGGGCTAGCGACTCACTGCACCGCTCTAACAGCCTGATGGCGAAGCACTTGAAAATTTAGGTCATTTCTTTTTCAGGACTAAAAAAACAACACAAAACAAACCAGGACTAAAAATTTCACACCAAAAAGCGAATGATCCTAAGCTGCATTCCCTCCTCATAAGAGTTTGTTAAATGATACTTAGTTCTTCAGGAAGGATGACCTGTGGCTTTTCCCCGTAAGACCTTTTATCCACTTACTAGACAATAACAGCACCGTGCACACTGAAGCAGACAGAAAAGGAGGCAATAAGCTAAGAGAAAAAGCAAGGGCCAACTGGCTTTCTAGAGATCAAACCTGTCGCCTAAGAAAATGGCAGGCATGCGTCCCAGAGTTGGAAAAAAAACAAGCTCTGGAAGGAAATGGTTGACGTGACAGGCAAAGATCACAGCCCAGAGCAGCAGCCCTCGCGGCAACGCTCTGCTCTGGCCTCTCGCGAGCTTACATTTATGTCCCATGGCATTGGTGCCACATATTTAGGGTCTGCAGTTCCCCATGAAGAAGACGCCAAAGAGATACTTGAAACCATTGATGAACTTGGGAGAATTTCAAAACTGCTCAGAACGAAGGACTCTTGCCACCATAAGTTTCTTGATTCGAGATGTTCTTGGTCTCATAATTTCTCAGAGAGACAAGAGACAGCACAGCTACGACACACACGTAAGTCTTTTGACAAGCCAACTCTAACCATTGCTGGCACCATAAGGATGAGAAAAGAAATCACTAATGAAGAGTTGCTGAGCTGGTTAACTTTCCTCCAAAGTCAAAAATTAGGTGTAGGTACCTATGCAGCAAGAGGTCGACCTCTGCTGCCGTTAGATCTAGTTCCTTGATTAGACGTCTCTTTGAAAATGGTAAGTTAAACATCTAGCTTTACAGATAGCCTGCAAGGTTCTCAAGCCTTCTTGCTGTATCCCCAAAACGTCTTGGTGTTGCAGGATTTAAAATTTTTTAATTTCATTTTTGTTTTCGTTCATGATGTTGCTTTAATTTATAGAGCACTGGCTGACATGGTCATCTGTTCAGAGTTCCTTTAAAAAACTGTTTATCTCATCTTGATTCATAACATTATTAAGGTCTTTCAGACGTTACTTTAACTTCATCAAGGAAGAGGGAGCATGTGAATAAGTGAGTGTGTGCGTGTGTGCTGGGGCGGGAGGGAGAGAAGCAAAGAAGCACAAGGGAAAGTGAGATTCCATAAACTTAGAATCAATGTACAGAAAGGCATCTGATGTATTTTCTGAATAAGGCCTTGATCAGGGTAACCAATCCTCTTTGTAGCACATTCTACACTGCCCATAAATAAAGGAGTCTCTTTAAGTTAACATTTCCAGTATCAGTGAACAGTCCAGAAATCCTCATTTCAAGCGCTCGATGAGTCCCTGTGTGAGTCCAAGGTGCAGAAGCTGTGTTCGGGAGAGGTTTGCTAGGTTAGGGAAGGCCGCGAGCAGCTTCTCCCATGCCAGTTCCAGCAGGCTAGGTACCACCAGCCAGATCTTAAACAATGACCCAGTCCGTTTGTTTTCGTGGATGTTCACCACTCCTCCGTGAATATACATGCAACCAGCCTATGAACAAATGGCAGTCAAAGACGATCAAATCAAATGGGTGACAAACAGATCCTGAGGCTGAAGAGTCAGCAAAAAACTTCACAGTAGGCTGAACTGGGATGAGGTGAAACAAAGAATTTCTCACTGATCCCACCATAGCGCAGGGACCAAGGCTGGTGTAAATAATGAATGTGTTCCTAAGGAAAAAACTACAGGTTTCTTTTTTTACTTCAACAACTTCAACAAACATTGAAGGAAGACTGTACTAAGTATCCATTGTGCCGAAAACTGGGAATACAGAGATGAAAATCAAGGTCTTCGCGTTCAAAAAACGAGTAGGATCTTCACTAACATGGCATCCTGGGATAAAACTGTCCTGCCCTCCCCGGAAAGCCCTTTGATATCACTATCAGGGCCTGGATTCCAGGTGCAGCATTTCTTTTACATTTATGCTGCTCTTTTATACTTGCATATGATGTGTTGGTTTTGTTTTCTGTCCTGTTTTCACAAGAGCTAGCTTTGGGAGAAAGTTTTAAAACACATTCTTAATCCAAGATTTGCTACTATCTGAATCCTTTTTTCTTGCTATTATAATAATATTCCTCAGAAGATTTCTTTAGCATCTGCAACTACATTAGGGAGATATGAAAATTAGAACTTACTGGTGTAACCGCTGCACAGTGAAAATACACAGGCTCTGGCATGGTAGCTGGGAGCTTTACCCACTGAAACGTCTGCAGATTCAACTTCCAGATATCTCCCAGGATCACTTCTCCATTATAGCCCCCACAAATAAACACATCTATCAAGAAAAGAGAAAGCCACGATCACACAAAGGAAATGAGCCAGGGCCACAGCATGTTCCGTGGCAGCTCCCACGCCCAGCTGACCTGGGCCCAGGTCAGTGCACTTCCCCGTTCCACAGAGGACTCCAGCTGGGCGGGCCTCTTCTGCTGCTGTCTTGTCCCTCCATAGAGTTTGGACACTATGTTGGGATCTTGGCTGCGCCTAAGGGTGCAAGCCGTTTTGGCTAGGATTCAAGAAAAGTACAGCTCCATTCTTAGAGAGGCAGAGCTTCACATCTCAGTTCTCAAATTCAAATACCTATAGGTACCAGGCATAGAAAGTAATGAGCAAGAAGGTCCACGGAAAACAAACAAACGGGGCGCGGGGAACAAACGGGAGCGCACACGCTCTGAAGGGGGAGATGGCAACGCAGCTCCGGCGGATCAACACCATGCAGGACTTAGGGTCAGCAATGGCCACCTCTTGCAAATTTTCACGAGAAACTGCAAATCTGGATTTCTTAAAAAGTGAAACACTTTGATTTTTAAGGGGTAGCCACTAATTCAAAAACTGTTAATACACACATGAGCCAAACAAAACACATCTGCAGGCCACCGGTTTGTGAACTCTTAAATAACATCTGGGGAAGGGTAGACATTTATCTGCCCATAGCAACAAACGTTCTCTGTGTAGACATTTAACCTGAGAGGAACATTTGCTGCAATGCTCAGTTTGGGGGCACAAAAGAGGTTCTTCCAAGCTTTCTTCAGTCCAAAGAGGGCAGTCTGAAGCCCCGTTTGATCTGTATGGCTATTTCTGTCAGGACTAAAACCTTCCCGAAATTAAAGGTTTTGTTGTTGTTTTTTTGGTTTTGTTTTTCTAAAATCAGTTAGTTATAACTAATTAGAAAACTTGTAACAAAGGCTATGTGAACCTTCTTACTAAATGCCCAGAACTAAGGCTGAATTCCGCTTGTATGGTGCTTGGCCTCCAAGAATCAAATGAATAGATGTCATAATTCAGGTCTAGATCAAGTTCAAGTCAATACTTAATTAAACTATCAAATACACTGGAAACCTTTTTGGCTAGGATTCAAGAAAAGTACAGTCCGTTCTTAGAGAGGCAAAGCTGAACAATGCTATAAATCTTATCCAAAAAGCAGAAGCATAATAAAAAGAACCTCCATACTAGAGCTGGCAGCATAATCCTAATAAAATCAGAACTAAGCTGCTGAAAGGATACAGGCTATCAAACTCATTTATACGCAACTTCCTCCCAGAAAAAAACTTAAGGCACTATATCAAACTATAAAATAAGCTGTAAATTAAAAGACAGGAAGGGTACCCAAAAAGGACTCATTTATTACACTTAGATAAAGTCGCTGCAGCCGCTTTCGGAAGCCATACAATGCCTGTGTTGTAATATAACCAAAGAATGAGCTAAGAGTCCTACTTGGTGTCAGGAAGAAAACAGAATACACTTTATGAAATAACACTCTGAAGGAGTTAGTACAATTTTAATATAATGTCCACTGAGGTCTCTATTGTATATCGGGACTATTAGTATTTCCCACCAAAACCACAGACATTATTGGGGGGGGGGGAGTGGGGGATGCTGAAAGATCAGGTGTGATAATAAAAGCTTATTTATCGCTGATTTTTGAGTTCTCTGATAACCGAGGGAACCCAAACACCATACTAGTTTACTTCATGAAAACTGCCCAGAAAGGCATAACTATATGGATTTCCCTTTAAGTTTAAACTACAAGGAATAGACTCTTAGGCCCTAAGTTATGCCTCTTTTAAGGAGCTCTTATGAAGAAGTAAGACCTTCTCAGCATACAAAATTACAAAAATGGAACCAGAAAGTTATTTAGGATCCTTACCGTTTTTTATTTGAACACAACTGTGACATCTTCGAGCTGCAGGAAAACCTGCCAAACACATAAACACAGAAATTCCATTATTCACAGAAAGACCAGGAATCACGTTGATATAACAAAAGACATACTATGAGTAACTCATTGAAAAAGTCCCTTTGTTGCATTAAACCAACATTGACTAGTCCTTTCCATCCTTTCTTATTTTACACTACCATAAAGCCATCAGAAGTCTCATAACAATACAATGTTAAGGTGCCAGGGAAACAAAGTGGGGTGGCAGGGGGCAGGGGTTACTAGTGGCTTTCCGCAGCCCTTTTCCCCACAAAGAGCCAGGGAGATCTTGATTGAGGTGCCTATTTCTTATCCCACCCACATTTCCCATTTCCCCAGAACTCAACAATCCCCATTAAAAGTCTCTGCACAGTTGCTGAGGAAGAATAATAATTGGGTTAAAGAATACAAGTAATTTCTGATACCACTTCAACAGATGTTTCACTTGTCATATAACTCAATACAATTAACTTTCCCTTCCAAAACAAGTAAAAGTATAAAATACACTTGTTAAAGATAAATGAATCAATATCATAAATGTACCTATTTTTTCATGGGGTTTTGTTGCAATTTCTTCCCATGCGTTTGTTTCAAGGTTGTAAGCATGAATCTAGAAAGAGAGAAAAAAAGGAGATTCTAATATAAGTCAAAACATTAAATGAAACAGTTGAAAATTAAGCACACGTATGATCTCAATATTTAAAACCTCACAGGAACAATGAAGTAAAGAGCTGGTATTCTGAAACCTACCCATATATCCTACAATAAACATGCATCGTTTTTATAACAGAAAAAAAAGCAAATGTTGGTAAGAAAACATGGGATGCAGTTTTGTCCACGAAGACATTCCGGCTCCAAAGTCGACCAGCTCTGTAGCCGACTGTAGCTTTCCCCGGGGACAATTCCATGGGAATGCGGCAGGGATGAAGTTATATAAGAGCAGAGAGGCTATAATCCCAGTAAAAATTTATAGTTACACAAATATGTGGCATTTAGAAATACCACAGGGATGAAGAAAAGCCCTTCAGAGCCCAGCTTCCTAAAGTTCGTGACGTGGAGCCCTGAAAATGCCTGTTCTTTTTAGATAGACAGCACCGGTGGTGAGAGGGGTGTGACATTCTGAGCATCCTGGTTCTAACGCTAATTAGCTGCTCCCTGCAACCTACTGTGTCTTCCTTTTAGTTACTTTCCTCATCCAGCATCAGGGGATAATTTTCATAAAGTATTTTCAGTGTGTCATGATTCAGCTGTCAACTGGGGAGCCTATCAGAGGCACAGAGCTCAAGCTTATAAAGAGCATGTAACACAAAATAGGGGTGGATGAAGAACTTTTTCAAAATGTAAGATATCTACAGTAACAGAATTATCTTGCTTAGTGTGAGACATGCCTCTCTCTAGCCTTCTCCCTCCCTTTTAAAAAACATACCTTGTTTAAGGAATAAGCTGTCCAGGAAGTGCCACCTCCCAAGATGTAAATCCTCTGCCCGTCATGTGCAATTTCATGTCTGTATCTGAAATACACAATAAAAAACATTTATAATTAAGTGAAAAGTGATCTACCTACGATTCAGCAGCAAGGCTTTTTATTGCATCGTTATTTATAATAATAAATGATTAGAACTAACCTAAGTGTTGAATAATAGTAAATTGGTTAAATAAATTACAGAAAACACATAAAATGAATTAATATGCAACCAATAAGAATGTAGGTATAGAGAATGATTAATAATATTGAGACCTTGGTTTCGTGTCATTAACTGAAAAAAAAAAGTTATATAAGAGCAGATAGGCTATAATCCCATTAAAAATTTATAGTTACACAAATATGCAAAGAAAACGACTGTAAGATTACATCCAAAATGTTGACCCTGGTTATCTCTGAGTTCAGATTTTTTTTTTCCTCATTTGTATTTTCTAAATTTGCTATAATATTTTTGTGATAACTTTGTATAAGGGGGGAAATTATTATAGAGATTTAAAAGGTGATCTGCTTACATTTAATTAGAAACCCTAGACTGTGGGTGTTTAAATTAAGAAAAAAAACGCCTACCAGAACTTTTATCCAAGCAGTCTAGCTCCAAGCTGAAACAACTTATATGTCCCGAAAATGATTCAAAGAAGGCAACCATGTGAAAATGCTTTGAAAACTTAATCTATCTCCTCCTTTCCCTGAAGGTCCTGGTGCTGATCAAATAAATTACATCAAGATTATTCCAGTAACAGTCCATCATCTCCCAAGTCCTCTCATAGTAATTCTGCAATAGTTAGCCCACTAACATACTAAATAAAGATAAATTCTTTCTTAGCATCTATATGCCATTTTGTTTAAAGGCAACAAAGAGATACTGGATTATTCTAAATAGAATGAATAAAAAATTGTTTACTGGGCCACCGGTTTGCTCTGTTGGTTAGAGCACAGTGCTCGTAACACCAAGGTTGCCGGTTCGATTCCCACATGGCCCAGTGAGCTGTGCCCTCCACAACTAGATTGAAAACGACTTGACTTGGAGCTGATAGGTCCTGGAAAAACACACTGTTCCCCAATAAAGTTTAAAAAAAAATCCCAGGTAACTGGAAGAAAAATTTATAAAAAAAATTGTTTACTGTCTTTGCTTTTAAACTACAGGGCAAAATGTCTTTAAGTTTTCCAGTGAGTTTAATTCTAAGAAGAGGGAACTGCTATTAGGAAAGAAAAGTGAAAGATCTAGGGCTGCTGTCTAGAAGGCAACTAGAGAGAATCATAATGTTTGAGTGTTTAACAGAGCACTTAAAATGAATGCCCCACCCACCCATCTTCCATCCTTCCCTCCCTCCCTTCCTTCTTCCCTTCCATCCATCATCCATCCATCCAATCAACATTCACTTAGTACCACTATAGGCATGGCACTGTGCCCTGTACTGGGGACACAGCTGCGAGTAAATGAGCCAAAGGATCCTAATAAACAAGTTAAGAAGGGAAATAAAGAAATAATTAGAAAGTAACTGTTTTGCCTGTTAATATGAAATTTCATTAAAATTGTTACCATTGGTTTTCCCTTCAAAATGTTACTATCTTCCTAATGCAGAAAAACTGAAATATAAGAGGAAATAACATGAAAAAAATTCTCTAGTTGAACGGGAAATATCATTCCCCTAATGGAAGACCCTTCTGTAATGCTGAACTGGGATCTAACAGCCAGTTAGCTATTTTAACCAGGCCAGAGGGTTTTCTTCAAACCACATTACCAATATTCTGAAAAAAGTCAAATCTTAGCAAGAAACAGTAAATATGCTCTAATCCTAGAACCTCACCTCTCTTCTGGGAGATCACAGGATAGGTTGTTTGGTTTCAGTTGTGTCCACTCTCTGGTATTAAGATCTAATTTGTGCAGGTCTGTGCTGTAAATATAGCCAGTTGTCCCTCCAAAGACGTAAAGGGAGCCATTGATGATAGCCATGGCCTGGATAATGAGGAAAGGTGAACCAGACTGACTCGTTAACACGGTATTAAAAAATGTGAACTCATTAGATACCCCAAAATCAGGTTTTCTGAAACTCACTTATATTTTTTAACCTTCTAAAATACCAGACCCTTAAAGGACTAAAGATTTTAGAGAGCACAGAGATTATTTTTAGAATGGTAAAGCTTTGCTCAACTGGAAAGCAAGTTCGACCTAGATAGGCAAGGGGGTCAGATGACCCTTAGGAGATCCTGGCCAACCAAAGAGTCTATAGATCATTTCCACTGAAGGCTGCTTCTCTTTCTAAGCAGTCTGAAGAAAAATGCCCTCAAGGAGGAGCAGATAGGAAAACAAGCCACCAGAATCCCTTAAGTAAGATCTAAAGCTGGCGGTCATTGTCCACCACTCTTCTTTGAAGTAAGTTTGGCTAGTGTCATGGCGATTTCTTAGAGCTTCAATGCCTCCTGTGGTGGGATACAGAACTCTCCAGTATGTGCTTCTACACACAGCTCAGAAGCTGTTTATCAGTACTGATGCCAGCTAGCTGAGAATGAAGCCAAAGGTGGGTTGTTTTAATCTTAGCCCATTTCTCTCAAAGGGTCTAGGATATATGGTGAGTTGTTTCCTATCTTTTGGGATACAACTCTTCAAACCTAAGTACGGGAACCTAACTGGAAGCTAATCTCTACAGAATCTGTTTTAGCTCAAGATCTTAACCATGTGCAGGGATCATCTACTCTGCTACTTAAGGTCAGGAAGCTCTTGAAAGAACTCTGTCACTCTAAAGATGACAGGACTCGGACCCTATGTAGCCCAATCTTTCACTGGGGGAGGGAGCTGAGGTGGGGGTGGGGTCCTGACATTTACAGAAATTTTCATACAGGTCTAGATCACAATCCTAAATTGGATTAGAAGTAGAGTGAGAGGCGGTGGGGAAAGAAAAGAAGGCGGAAGCCACCAGATTTACAAATTACCATTTCACATGAGAACTGAAAAATCAAATATTAGCCACAGTGAATTTATTCCCCATTACAAAAATTGGTAGTAATATAAAAATTCTGACATTATCCGCAGAACTAGAAAAATCCAGACAAATGCAGCCACCGTGACTGGCCATAGATTGGTACCTGTCCGTATATACGACTGGGTTTCTTCCCCCGACAGCTGAGTAATGCCCATCTCTTATACTTCACGTTACAGACGTGCACATCATTGCCGTTGCTCTCACCAAACGGGATGCCTGTACCTCCAAACACTAACAGGTTGTTTCCATGCAGCACAACTGGGGGAGGAGAAGCACAAATCCCTTTATGTACTAGTTACCTGCAATGTGTTCCCACAGAAACCCAGAATAATGAGAAACAAAACATGTCTGCTTGCATGCTCCCAGAAGACAGCTCGAACCACCGGCATCTAACTACTACCAAGTTCTGCAGAAAACGGTCTAATTCACACTATATGGACTGTATCCTGTATCTCCCTGTTTGGTATGTGACATGTATTCAGTATGCATTTGTGGAATTAATGAAATACTGCGTATAACAACACTGAGTGATATGGACCACGGTACACCACGGCCTCAAGAAAGTCCAGGTACGCAGCAAAGCAGAGGAAAATGAAGCACCATCTTCACCTTAGCAGAGGCCCAGTGGGACTCAGGGTGACGAGGTAAAAGGATCCTGCTATTTCTGCTAGGGGAACAATCTCTACATTTTAAACTATGGTTGTCATCTTAACCCTCCCTCCACCAGATAAAAGGAAACACCAATATCTTGTTGGCAACTCTGGTGTCTTCGGTTCCTGCCACCAGACACACACACTCACCCTTCTTTCCCTCTCTGATGGCAAATACTCTCAAAATGCCGATACTGTATGATTTCAATGGCTTTTTTTTTTTTTAACCAATTCTTCGATTGCTATGGTATAGGAGTCAACAGCATGGGCTCTGGAGTCATTGAGAGCTGGGTTTCAATCCCCATGTGACCTCAGGAAAGTTATTTAATCTCTCTAAATTAACTCCACCATAACCCTGTGAGGTAGGGACATGATTATCTTCATTTTTATACACAATGAAATAGAAGTGGTGAGTGGTGTAACCCACTTGTTGAAGGTTTCCTAAAGAGAACCTTGCCAAGCTAGGACTCAGTCCCAGGCAGTCTGGCTCCAGAGCCTGCAGGCTTGGCCATACCCGGAGGGTCTCTCTAAAGGCTCAGCGTCCTGATTTGTACAATGGTAGTGATTCCAGTACCTGCATGGGAGGGATGCTGTGAAGATTCAACAGATACGTGTGTGAGGTACTCTGCTCAGCAGCTATTACCACCGTTATGAACCTCATCTGTTGAGCTTCTACATTCTGCCCAGCATATACATGATACTTGATGTTGAACCCTCTGTGATATCATTCATCCCATTTTAAAGCTAAGGAACTTGAAGCTAAAAATCATCTGGCAAGTCAGTGGTAGGCAGCTGGATTCAAACTCAGGCTCGTGCAACTCCCAAGCAATTCGGAATCACCATGCCGTATTAGTACCGAAGTAAGAAGTCTATCCCTTAGCAGGGTTTCATCACATTACAGTGTTATAATAAATTATTAACAAAGAACATGCAACATTGAACCAGACCCTTAGGACATTTCATGAAGTCAAAAGTTCAGAACTGGGCCGGCCGAGTGGCGCGTTGGTTAAGAGCTGGCTTGGGACGCCAGCTCTGAGCAGCAGGGCCCCAGTTCGGATCCCACATGAGGGCCAGTGACACTGCCCTCTACAGCTAAGATGGTGAACAACAGCTCAACCTGGAGCTGGGCTGCCGTGAGTCGCTGGCGACGGCATAGGCTGCAGTGAAGCTGCAGTGGGCTGCCATGGGCTACCGTGTGTGGCCAGCAGCCAGTGTGAGCGGGCAGCAGCCAGTGTGAGCTGCCAAGAGCCGCCGTGAGCGGCCATCCAGAGGCCGGCGACTGATCTGCCTCACCCGGGAAGAGTGCAATCATAATACTACCAACACGGGCCAGTGAAGCAACGTCCTCCACAACTAGACTGAAGAACAAAAGGACAGCAACTTGTCTGTTTCCCTTCCCCAGACTCCCCAGCACTGCTCCCCTCCCCCAATTCCCCAATAAAATCTTAAAAAAAAAAAAAACAAAGTTCAGAACTGCCTGCACTCACGTGACATAGATGCCAATTCCCGGGGCATGTACCCATCTGTGCCCATCTGGTGCCACACTCCTGTAGCAAAATGGTACCGCCAAAGCTCCCTGAAGAGAGGATAGTCTTCATTATCAGGCCCTCCTGATTCATCGTAATCTGGGTTATAACCTCCAAACACATAGAGATTGGTATTATCTGCCACACATCGATGTCCACTTCGTGCTGGTGGAGGTCTGTGGCCTAGGAGAGAAGGGGACAGTTTTCCACAGATGGCCCAGCAGAATCAAAGCACACACAGAATCTGATAACAATCATTTTAGCTTTAAAAGGGGACCAGGGAAGAGTTATAATATGGATATACTTTTTATTTGCTTAGGTTATTTTATACATTCACACACACTACTTAAGATTTTAAGGAGCTGGTCTCCATTTCTATTTCATAGGATTACTTTCGGATTTTGATAACTGTATAGATTTTTCCCAAGGGAGGCAAAAAAGCATTAAAGCTCAGAAAATGGCTGATAACTGGGAATTTTCAAGACTAGAAGGAAGAGGGGTTTAATATTCTAAAAGCTAAAAAGACAAATTTTCTTATTTCTTCAGAAGAGAAAAAAACACAGGCCAACTAAATTAAACTGAAAATACTAGAAAACTACATAAATATAATCACAAATGTGAATGGGTCATGTATAAATAAAAATACACACACATAAAACCTATGATTTTCCCCCCACAATATATAATTATACACTTAAAAAGAAAACTGGCTTTCAAAGAGTTATAGCAAAATGTAGAATTTAAATACCACTCCTGACATTATGGCAATTAACAAAAAATATCTTAGTATCTCAAAGAGCATCTTTCATCCTATTAAGAGCTTTACACTAAGAAAAGCTATTTCTACAACTTATATTTGAAAGCTTTCTGAAGATTAAATTATGTCAACTAGTTCGCTAAAACTTATCTTGGGATTATTTTAGAGTGAAAAAAAAACCCCCCAAACTTTACATAATTTTTATTATCCTTACAATTTTTTATACCAGTCTATACAAACCCTTACATAGCTATAGAACCAAAGATGCTTAAGTATATATTGGATGGAGTAAGAAGCTACTATAGTTGTCTGTTACCCTAAAGACTTACCTACTTTCATATATTAGTAGTAGATACTAGTATAACGTTAATTGATATTTAGGACAATGCTGGACACCTCATAAACATCTATCATATATACATTTATCACCAATCTAACATAGGCCTGAAATATTTATTTTTTAAAATCATAATGATCCCACTTCCTAGGGTTTGCTTTTAAACAAGACCTGAAAAGAAACTGCACAGATCTAGAAACACTAAAAAACAAACCGTGAATCATCGAATCACTCAAGTCCAACCTGTCAGTTCTGAGAGCCTCTGATGGTTCCCGCTGCTCGTGTATGAAATGAGGTCCACAACCAGCAATGGAGAGCCTGTCACAGCACAGCCTTGTCCTGACAGCTCACACTCCTGCCCGTCTGTCTCTCTGCTTGGGAAGCCGAGTCCTTCCCTTTGACCTTGGTCTGGCCTACTGACCCTTCAACGCCTCGTTGTGGAAATGCCTCCGAGTCCAGCCCATACAGCTCTTTTTACGGCCCTTACACGTTAGCACCCTACTGCTCAAATATTAGGATATAAATGTACAATTAATAAGATTATCATACCACAACTATGCGAATACGTGAATAAATATATTAGGCAAACTATAATCAGCTAGGACATTTACTCATGAGCTGTGATGTACCTCAAGTGAAGAACTCAATTTCTCTTTCTAGGAATCTTGAAACAGAAAGTGTGGTGTGGAGGAAAGAGCAAGGGGCTCCTACAAATTAAATTAGATTTGAATCCAGGTTCTTTCTAACTGCTCCTTCGAGCAAGTCACTGACCCTCACTGCCTCGCAGCTTCTTCATCTGTATAAAACGATGCTACCCCTGTATTTCAGACTTACTACACTTGCCATTATGTTAAAATGTTTATTGGTTTATATGTGTATCTTTCAGGGCGGCTTTTTTACCACCAAGCCTGAGGAACACAGAAACACTGAACAAGTTTACAAACTTCCATTTTTTTCTACTCATTTCGTTAACATTTCTTTTTCCTTTCCAAATAGATTATAAACTTCTCAAGGGCAAACACTGTATATAACAATTATCCTGTATCACCCACAACACCTAAAACAGTTGGAGATATATGACAGATACAAGTTTTGTTGATTTCGACTTCAAGTCAAAGTAAACAGCATACAACTGTGAGTGGACTTTGGTATTACTGTGCTTAGGAGATTCATGATTTTGGGGACAAGGGTTGGATTATGTAACGGTCTTCTTAAAACACAAATGCTTCTAAGAATTAGCAAAACTAATTTAAAGAAAAGAACAACAGAGTTGCTAGGGTCAACAGATGGGAACTCTAAGAAGCTCTATAATGCCATTTGCTTTATTACCTGGGGCCGACAGATAATTTTTAAAACTGCTTTTGGGAAAATATGAAAAGACATACATACAGTATATTCTAGGATTGTCTCTAAATGGCTGTACAGCAGAGAAGACGTTCCATTATGTTTATTGCCAACTACTTTTGTGACAAACATAACTCACATGGATTAAAGGTTGAGGAATCTGTGAAATGGTGGGTTTATATTTACCTATTCATTTATTAAGCCAAAAATTTTACTGGACACCTGCGATGTATCAGGTACTATGATAGGTGCTGGGGATACAGTGATAAGACCACTACTATTTCTGTCCTCTGGAGATTAAAGTCTCGTTCTGCACTGTCCAATGCAAGCAGCCACTAGCCACATATGACCAGTAAGCACTTGAAATGAGGCTGGTCCACACTGAGACAGGCTTGAAGTGTAAAATACCCACTGGATTTCAAAGACTTAGTATCCAGAAATGAATGTAAAATTAATACTTTTTATAATAAATATGTTAAAATGATATTTTTAATATCATGGGTTAAACTGAAATTAATGTTGCCTGTCTTTTACTTTTTTAATATAGCTGCAGGAAATTTTAAATTCGCGGATCACATATTTCTATCGAACAGCGCTGGTCTAGCTCAGTTGCTGGCTTCTGTAAATAACATCATTATCTATGCAAATTAAACTGCTGGGTAAAGGGCATTTGATCAATGTTTGATGAATATTAAAAGAGAAGTCTTACAGTTGGGAGTAAAGAGGTAACTCTTCATCCCCTTGAGTCACTAACTAGAGATTTTTTTGTACCTGTTTTTATAGCCCTAGAGTGACTAACGTATTAGAAAGCCAAATTTTGTTTTGAATAAATCATGGGAATCTGTCAGGGCTAATGCCATGGAGACCAAGAATTAATTTCCTTTATGTGGGATATAAGCATAGACTCATCAACCTTGACCAAAATGAAACTGGGTTTTAGATTATTTAAGTAGTTCTCGGAATCCTCCCCCCAATTCTCCATGTGCAAATCTCACTTTCCTAAAAATTACTACTAATAAAATAGCCCATAGAATTAGTTTACTTGATTCAGGAACTCCCATTAGGAAATGCAGACATCAAAAATTAAAACAGAACCGGTATGCAGAGGTGAACTGTTAATACCCAGAAGAGAACAGCAAGCTAAGGGAGGGTGTACCTGCGATGTCTGGGCCATCTTCTCGTCCATGTGCTCACCATGTCACAAACGTTTGCGCTTTACCCAGGGAATAAGCAGGAACTTAGGGTACCAGGGAAATGGGCTCTAGCCCAAAGGAAGAAGCTAGCTGTCTGAGATATGGTTGCTGCCAAATGTTTTCACTATTACAAATAATATTGTAACAAAGATTCCTTACATAGATTCATATGCAAGTGTCTGAGTATTTCTGGAAATAGACTTTCTGGGTCAAAGGAATATACACTTACAATTGTTATAGATGCAATACTGTTCTAGAGCCACACTGCTCTCCAAAAAGACTGGAACAATTGATACCCCTAGCAATGCTGTATGCAAGTGCCTATTTCTTTCTGCTGTCTTCAACCTTAATTGGTGCCAATCTTTTGGGTGTAAATTGGTGTCAGGTTAATTTGCACTTCTCTGATTTTTACTAGTTCACATGTTTATCGGCCCATTTGTATTTCTTCTTTGGGGAACTGCCTGATCATATCCCTCGCCCACTTTTCTATCTACTGAGTTGTCTTTCCATATATTTGTAGAAATTTATTATATTTTTCCTTCCAGCCTGCTACTTGTCTTTTAATTTTATTTATGGTATCTTTTAACATATGGAAATTTTTGTGTAATTGAATCGCCCAATCTTTTCTTCCAAGGCTCCTGGGTCAAAAAAAAAAAAAAAAGATTCTTTGCTTTACATCATCTCTGCATCATTATAAAATTTAAAAAATATTCTTATTTATTTCTAGTAATACATCCAGAACTTATTTTTTGTGTATTGTATGAGATAGCGCTCTAATTATCCCCCCAAAATGGATAGGTTATTGTCCCAAGCCACTTACAGAAAGGCATCCCTTCTACACTTAATTGAAATGCCACCATTATCATATACTAAATTGACATGTTCTAGAGTAGAATTAGGAAAATCCCAATATCCAGGGCTAATCGCCTTTTACACAAAATCTATTGCTCTTTGAGAATGCACACAAGCACTATAAAGCAACATCGTGGAATCTGAAATGCAAACGTTTGCAAATAAAGCACATAACGTTTTTGCTTAATAAGTCTATTACTTACAAGATGTAGCCACCTCTAGATCATGCTATCAAAAATTTGTGGTGAGGCCATTTTAAAAAAATAAAAACCTTTACTGCTAAGAGTATTGACTAGCTATATCAAATAGCCTGAAGGATAAGTTCAGTTGAATTTATATCGGTCACTTATTTCCAAATTTAAAGCCCAATGTGACCTCTACCTGAGAAGACAGATCTTCTGTTGTCCACCTGGGCGCCCAGACAGGAAAGCCAAGGAAGATGGAGCCAGCTGGCCTTAGCCCCTGACCAGCAGGCGGACCTTTTCACTACGCCCCGAGTCCAAGCCGCTCAGGCTAAAGCAATCCCTTCACATCAGCACGCGGTATCACTTCTTGGTTATGTGTCTCCTGCTGCAGGGACTCACTCCATACCCTGTATGAGGTGCACATGTAAAGTTCTGGCTTCTCAGGGCAGAGCAACTGTATTGTCTTAAGGTGGCAGCCATACAAGAAACTTGCTTTGACAAAGAGTTGTTTTCAA